CCCCCCCCCCCCCCCCAGCGAATCCTTATAAGAATCTTCGAAATCATCGGACAGAAATGGGATATCAAGTGAAAATTTTAAGATTATATAAAATGAACCTAAAAACGAGTTGACCGTCTTTGCAGCGTTCACACTTAACTGGACATCCAAATACTGCGCAATCCACAAGTCGATCCAACAACTGAAATTCAATAAAACTGCAACTTTTTACTGGAAATTTAACTAATGGAATTATTTTTTGCTTCATAACAGCTCAACTTCATGAAAGCAACGAGGGCAAGCCTACTTCGCATCATTGGTCAGCATGTCACGAATTTATGGAACCTCGTCAGGCGTTGCACCAGAAATTTTTATGAAGGTTACAATAACGTAACAAGAATTTCATCCAAAAAGATGAGAAAAAACCTTGGCTTCTCCACCATGTTCGGGTAGTGTCTGTTTGTTGACTTGCAGAATATGCTGCATCTGAGCTTTTGATAGGCATCTACTGAACATCTCACGTACTTTCCACATCGTATCGGCTTGTTTCTGAAAGACCCAATAAATACACACATCTTACTGAATAAAAACCACCATCACATCGAATGATTCTTCCTTCATCAATATGAATTCATTTACAAAGTGAACCTTTAATTGCTGCTTCAATTTGCGTGCTTCAGATGTCTCATCACTTTTCACTTTCTTCGCTTTGATTTCATCTTTTGATGCAGCGTCAGCTTTTCGTTTTTTTCTTCAACACGAAACTGTACAAGAGGTTAAAGCAAAAACGAACACGAAACACTTCCGAACTGAAGTGATAACGAAAACGTTCGAATATGATTAACTTATGCCCTTTATTAAGATGATTAATTGATAACGAAAATAATTCATGGAATATGCCCTTTATCAGATAAATGCAATAAACATATTATTTACTGTAACTATCACCAGGAACCTAACATTCGCTCTTTAGTCGTCAATAGATAGCTGTGTACTGCAATATATGGGTTACCCAATTGGCCTTGTGTTTTTATTTATTGTATTTATGGAGGGTGTTTTGACGGTGAATTATTATCATTAAAAAGATAAGAGAAGATAGAACACGCACTCTGCTTTCGAACCAAATAGAGCTATCAACACTTTTTTGTCCTCATCATTCGCATCTTCAAAGCCAACAATACTGGAAACAGAACAACATAAATTTTTCGGCTTCAGCTAAAGAGAACTGTAAAGAATGTACATCTGATGAATGTTTTTTGTTTGTTTGCTTGCCTTTACAGAACTAAATTCATTTGACTGAACGATTCAGTTATTCAAATTCATTATCAATTGAGACTTTAACTTCTTCATCTGACTCGCAACGATCTCGAATGACGAACCTTTCAGCATCTGGAATCAAAGAAGCATGCGCACTCTTGAAGCAATTCACATGATACGACGATGACTTCATGATCAGCTTGAACGTATCCTGAATACTCGAATTTGAATTCGGTGCTTGTTTCATGATTATTGAACATTATTTCACTATCGTTCAAGCATTTATACTCGCAATTAGTATTCGTACTGTATGATTGCTTTCATGTTTTCATGCAATTTTTCAACTCAAAAATGATCGAAATCCGTGGAATTAGTCCAAGATTCCGTAATTCTTCTGCAGAACAGGCCGGTTGTTCAGTGCAATTTGATCAACGCATTAACGTGTAATGAGCAACTGATCAAAATGACCATACATCATCGTTTGATCTGCCTCAATATGATCAAAATGATCGCCGTTCTAGGAAGATGATCTACAAATGTCACACTTAACAATGAGTATGCACTCTCGAAAGTGATTCATTCAGTTCCCTCGTTTGATTTCACTGTTGGTAGTGTCTTCGTTATTGTCCACACAATGAGGTTTTTGTTTACTTCGAAAAGCATTGTGTGAACATAAAACCTTTTTTTTCCAATTTATTAGTTTCCTGAATTCAGCTCACATTCCTAAACGCCTCTGTCTTATCAGTTATTTTGTTTGAGCTGATGGGAAATTTTCAGTAAGAAAGAAATCTTGGAAGAATGAGAACCTGTTCGATGATTTCCTTACAGTCTGCGCACTTGCCTCGACTCGATCTCGCATACTCTCCTTTGATGGACGTACTCACTTCAGGTCGTACTCCAACTCCAGCTAAAATTTATTTATTTTTCTTAAGTTTTGAATTTTATTTCATTCATTTGTTTCGTTCGTTTACGATTGTTATAATATTCCTTTTTTGAGTGACTTATAAAAAACCTTATCATGACCTACATCCATTAATTAATTTCAAAAAAGGCAGTCGTCAATAGAAGAATTCGAAAGGAGTTCTTTTTCTTTTTTCTCAATTGAACGTGTTCCTCACACAAATAGAATACGAAATAAAACGTGATCACATTTATTATCAGCAATCTTCTCGCGGATTTTCTCCTGATCTTCCCACTTCAACAGTTCCATTCCTCGTATCGACGCCTCATTGATATCGTTACGCTTCAATCGATTCCAAAAACATCGGAAATGGAACCTAAATTCAACATTTCACGATCATTTTTTCAGGTGGGCAATCCGTAGCAACCAGTGAGAGTTAATGGGAATGCAAACTGCCTAAATTCACTCGCTTAAACTGATTTAGCTCACCAGTTATCTTGCAGACCATCAAAGAAACGACTTGGCTGCCGAGCTGACATGCGTAAAGCTTTCTGCAAAAAAATGCACATTTGAAATGCAAGATTAACTTCCTCACCAATCTTCAAATAAATTACACTATCGTCCTACAAATACAGCGACTAATTAAAATTAAGGCGATAAATAAGAAATGAAAGTGCTCGGAAAGACTTCGAATTGTTCAATATTTATAACTCAAGAGAATAAATTTGTCAAGACTGTGAATCAAGCGAAACAGAAAAATACCTTACGATGTTAACACCTGAATTAAAAACAAACCATAGCAATTGGTTCTTTACATCCTTTACAACTTGCTCGTCCACTTTTTGCGTATTCGGCAGCATACGGCAAGTCACTATGTGGTTTCTTGGTTTCCGATGCAGCTTCAGCCATCTGAAAACAAACAATTCATCTTGACCAGAATGGTTCACATGAGAAGCACGAACTTGACTGAACACATTTCAAAACACGACATTGTCGCAGTGTACATTATCTAAATGCTAATTTTTAAAATGAACGAGCATAAATTCATAGAATGGAACTGAACACTAAAAATGCGATAAAATTTTCAAAAACGCTGCTTCTGTAGGGTGGAAATCATCTTTCTAGCGACAGATCGAGTTGGTAGTTCCGAAGTTGGAAATGTTGGTTGCAAAACTGTACCCAAGCGGCTATGAACATCGTTGGTGGGCCAACGGTTCACATGGACGGATTTCGAAACATCCTCTTTCCCGCTACTTTCAACCACAAACATATATATACTCTATATTCTGTCGACATGTTTTTAAAACTGATCGAATGAATCGTTGCGATTTTGTGTGGAGCAGGAAGGTGAGGCGTTTGTCAGACTCGTGCGCAATGCATAAGCTGTGATATGAGAATTCGGAGTATCATTCTCAAAATACGAGAATATTAGACAGTGACATACATATCTACAGTTCAGAAGTTTAATCACCCCATTCTAATGCTATACAATCATTTAATGTGGTGCTGGACGGGAAAAAGTCAGGGACGAGGAAAACTGAGGGCGAGGAATACCCCGGAACTGTCCGCGACTGGAAAACGTCGCGATGTGAGCGGGCACGGGGACCTCG